GTGTGTGTGTGTGTGTGTGTGTGTGTGTGTGTTTGTGTGTGTGAGAGAGAGAGAGAGAGAGGAATATGGAGAGAGAGAAAAGGAGATACATACTGAAGAAGAGAGCGGGAAGGAGGAAAAAACTGACACTTTTGCAGATTTCTTCTCAAAAATTTTGAATATCTTCCAATATACAAACTGGCCACTAGAAACCAATCTGCATAGCATAGTTTCCAATTCATCTATCTGGACTGCAAAAGAGATTTCACTCTAAACCCATGCACTGAATCATCTGAAGTGGGTCTACATGCTGAAATAAAAGGATTCTAGAGATTTCATGAGTTAAATAAATGACTGTGATAATAAGTGATTGGCAAATAAATTTTTGCTGGCTTTACCACATTGGTGTTCATTATAAAGTTAAATTCTAGCATATGGCTTTTTCTCACAATGACCCTCGTTCTTAAGAATATGGTGTTCCGGGCCGGCCCGGTGGCGCACTGCTACGGTGCGCCGCTTGGGAGTGCGGTGGCGCTCCCGCCGAGGGTTCGGATCCCACATACAGACCGGTTCCCGCTCACTGGCTGAGCGAGGTGCGGGAGCAACGCCGAGGGTTGCGATCCCGTTGCCGGTCCCGGGCTGGTACAGGCGCAACACTGAGGGTTGCGATCCGTTGCCGGTCACGAGAAAAGACAAAAAAAAAAAAAAATAGAATATGGTGTTCCTCTTCACAAATACTGTAGTATTTAGTTGCTTACTGGAGACATGATTTCTCTTTCCTGTAAGATATAATAGACTTCAATTAAACAAGCATAAATATTGTCAAAGTATAATATATACCCACTAATAACACCTGGAAGGCAGGAATAGAAGTTTGCCAAGAGCTGAATTTTGCTTTCTTTCTTTATCCTAAAATAAAGGAAAATAAAGCCAACTAAAACTGTAGAGAAAGAAAAAGTTTCAACTTGAAAATTTGTACTTGAAGCAAAAAACTAACTAACTAACTAAATAAATAAATAAATAAATAAAAAATATATATATATATATGAGAGGAAAAACAGTTGAGATAGGGAACAGAAGAAAATTCTAAGCAGCTTGAAATTGTAAAAGTTAATAGACATACATATATGAGAGGAAAAACAATTGAGATAGGGAACAGAAGAAAATTCTAAGCAGCTTGAAATTGTAAAAGTTAATAGACATACAGCAAGCACTTAATAAAGGCAAGTTTAATAAACTTAATAAGCATCGCCTATGGTCTTAAAAATGCATTATTGTAGTTTACCTCTGAGGATTATAACCAGGGAAAAAGAAGAACATGTTATTATGTCTACTCTACATTTAGTTATACTATGTATGTAGATACATAGTCCCAAAACAGTTCTCCAAAAGATATTAAACCCCTTTCTACTTAAATCATCAGTGGTTAAGCCTAACTATACCAACTCCTTTTTAAAAATTTCTAAATACTTAAAATAAGTTTTAAAATTGGCTCAAATGGAAATATAAATACTAGTATTTAATCTTCAATATTAAGACATACACTGTTTCTAATTAATTTATTGAATGGATAGAAAATAATGGCTGTAAATGTGGGGTTTTTTAAGACACTTATGGCTTCATAAAGTGTTTTCATTTTATTTTTCATTTCACCAACTGTTAGTCCTGTTGTTAACAGGCTACCAAACAGCTTCTTGAGTACTCAATAAATATTTGTTGTTGAATGAATGAGGATACATTTAGAGTTCAGCTCCATGATAATTGGTGTTTGCCATCACAGGGCTTGTTGCACATGAAGAGTGTGAAGGATATTTTAGCTCTCATTCTGGCCTTTGGAAATTATATGAATGGAGGAAATAGGACTCGGGGACAAGCAGATGGATATAGCTTAGAAATTCTGCCCAAACTCAAGGACGTCAAGAGTCGGGTATTTATTTATTTTTCATAATGTTTTATATAACCAGCCATTACTTTCCTTCCATACCTTTAATTTTTTTTAAAAATAAGTATTCCAGATTGTTCCATTCATCTCTATCTTACCCCCTAACAACAAATACTTATTTTAGAGCATGCATTTTTTTTCCTTTTTTTGACTTTTGAACAAATGTAGGTTTTTCATGTTAGAGCTTATTTTCAGTGACACGATCTTCCAGTCTTTGCTCTAACATACACTATTAAGTATTGAACTGCTACTGCAATGAAAGAATAAAACAGTGTACAGTATTAGCTCTGGTGCACAGGCTGAAGTCTGTTTGGGGTTAGTGTTGGCTGCTTATAATTTACTCATTCCTGAGTGGCAGAGCAATGTTAAATCACCTATTGAGCCGAGCATTTGAATTATTCTTTTGCCCACAACAATTGGGCTGGGGGTCTACTGTCAAACTCTCTGAGCCTGATTATCATTTGGCTCCACACCCCTGCAGAGCTACCTCTTTAGAAACAACCAGCCCATATCTAGGCTTCCCATGGGGGCCAGGGGGGATGAGGGAGGGGAAACAGGCAGGCAAATTAGAATGAGACCCCTGTGAACAACACACAAAAGCCGCCTTGTGGGAGGGCCTGTGCCCCTGGCCTCCCAGGGGCATGAAGTGGCATGGCCTTCCTTTTAAGCTGGCCCTGATTGTTTTTCATGATTTTCTGTTCTAGTCCCTGGCTCCCTTTAGCTCTCCCTGCCCCCTCCCGGCTTGGCTTTATGCCAGAAAATATTAGGAAACAATTTTCTGTTTGTTTATTTTAGCCATTATTTCAGAGGTCTTATGGATTATCCGTTTGCTTTTCCCCCCACAAAGGTTAGTGTAATGTCATTTCTTTGTACAGCTGGCATAAAAAAACGAATGGGACAAAGAGGAGGGAGGAAAATCTTGCCAGTCTCAAATGGAATCAGGACTAGGTCTCACCAATTAGAAGTATCACACTCTGAGACTTAAGCTCTCAACTGTATAACCTGGTAGAGTCTCGTGTGAATAATTTTCATTTAAATTTCTCTTTTAAACATAGGATAATGGGATTAATCTTGTGGACTATGTCGTGAAGTATTACCTGCGTTACTATGATCAGGTAAGAAATGGCATCATGTGGAAAACTGCACTAATGGGGTTTCAACTCTTACACATTGTTGGCATTCAGAAATTGGATGATGGATGGATGGATGGATTTCAAGTCCAACACAAAATGCGAGAGCTCTCCAGCGTCCTTGGTTTACAGATGAGAACGCTGAAGCCAAGAGTTTATTTGACTCTTATAAAGGGAAGCATTATTCAGTGGTACAAATCTACTGATCTCCTACTCACTATATAACACAGCTTTAGAGAACCCCCAGTTGCCTCGGTGCCTTATGACCACATTGTGAGGTTCTCTGTGAAATTTAGGTCCACTCAGTAATTGGTTATAGTTGGAACTGGATTCTGAGAGGCAGAACAAAATTTAAGAAATTAAGACACAGTGTTGTCCAGTATTTTATCAGTAATGCATCTGTGAACAAGTTGAAGATGTGGAATTTGAAAAATCCATCATCCCCTCTGCTTAGATGACATTTGCAATTAGAAATAAACATTTCTGTAAGAATCCACCTGAGCACAATTTTCTGTTTTATTTTTTCTTGTTAAATTGAGAACAAGGAGTCCTAACTTTGAGAAGACAGAGGTGCTATTATAACTTGTTGAGAAATATAGCAATCAATATGAATGGGAAAAGTCTCAGAGTAAAATTTGTCAGGGCTCCTTTTTGAAGCATTCAATCTAAGGCAGAAACCATAAAAAGTGAGAGTGATTTTTGATGCATAAAAGTAAAAAACTATTCCTAATTAAAATTTTAAGAAACTTTAGTATCTTATAAATGAAGTAAAAAAAAAATTTCTAAATAACATACTAGGGAAAATATTTCCAACACAGTAGATAATGAGCTCTTCAGAATCACCAGGAAAAGAATAACTTCTCTCTTCTTTAAAAAAAAAAAAAAAAAGGCAAAGGACACCATAGGCAATTTACAAAGGACAAAGACAAGATACAAATTGCCAACTAGATATATAGAGTTAGCAATCTATGTATCAGACTTTTCTAAGAACTATCCTGTATGGTTGCTCAGATTATTCTCTGTTGGAGGTCTCTAGGTCAAATGGAACTCATATCTAGCCTGCCTTCAACTCATCAAGCTATATTAACCTATAAAGGGCATCTTTTAAAAAAAAAACAAAAACAAAACATTGCATACAGATGTTATGTGCTGGTCAAACTGCCCATAGAGCTGTGCCTATCTGTAGGGGATACCTTTTTCTGATTCATTCAAATGTGCTGCATGGGCTAGCAAAGTTTTGACCTTTCTGT